GTAATTATTATTATTATTTTATAGTGCTTTTAGGTGAAAGTTTACAACTCAAGTTAATTCCTCATACAAAAATTTATACACATATTGTTAATGTGACATTAGTTGCAGTCCCTATAATGTGACAGCACACTTCCTCTTTCCACCCCGGGTTTCTTGTGTCCATTCAATCAGTTCCTGTCCCTTCCTGCCTTCTCATCCTGTCTCTGGACAGGAGCCACCCATTTGGTCTCATGTATCTGCTTGAACTAAGTAAGAAGCACACTCTTCATGAGTATTATTTTATGTTTTATAGTCCAGTCTAATCTTTGTCTGAAGAGTGAGCTTTAGGAATGATTTTAGTTCTGGGTTCACAGAGCATCTGGGGACCATGGCTTTGGGGGTTCCTCCAGTCTCAGAAAGATCATTAAGTCTGGTCTTTTTAAGTGAATTTTGAGTTCTGCTCTACACTTTTCCCCTGTTCTGTCAGGGACTCTCTGTTGTGTTCCCTGTCAGGGCAGTCATTGGTGGTAGCCGGGCACCATCTAGTTCTTCTGGTCTCAGGCTGATGGAGTCTCTGGTCTATGTCATATAGATGCTTCTTAAAAGAACATAATGCTCAAGGCAGATATTTTTTACTAGTTATGCTAAACTGTTCAATTTTAAGAAAACTTCAGGGGATATTTTTGGTTTAAGGTTTAAAGATTATTTCAGGACAGTAGTTTTGGGGGTTCATCTACCCTCCATGGCTCCAGAAAGTCTGGAGCCCATGAGAATTTGAAATTCTGGTCTGCATTTTCCCCCTTTTGATCAGGATTCTTCTATGGAATCTCTGATCAAAATGTTCACTAATGTTAGCCAGGCACCATTCAGTTCTTCTGGTCTCATGGCAAAGGAGGCAGTTGTTCATGGAGGCAATTAGCAACACATTCCATATCCTCCTCCTATATCTGACTTTCCATTTTTCTCGGTTGCTCCAGGTAAATAGAGACCACTTGTTGTGCCTTAGGTGGCTGCTTGCAAGCTTTCAAGACGCGAGGCACTACACAGAGAACTAGGAGAGAGAATAGAAGCACTAAAGACGTTATTAGGCAGATTAACTGGAATGTCCCAGGAAACCATGAACCTAAACCTCCAAACCAAGAAATCTAATCCCATGAGGTGTCTGGTTGTACATAAGCAGCCTCAGTAGCTAAGTTTTTTTTTTTGTTCATTGTTGTAAATACATCACACAACTTTTGACAGTTCAACTTTTTACAGGTGTACAACTTACTAACAGCAGTTACAATAATCAGCTGTGCAACTTTACCTTTAATGTAATTTTTCCATCATCATTAACTCTCCTTTTCCACCTCCCTCCCACCCCTGGGTAACCACTAATAAACTTTGGCCCCTATACATTTGCCTTTTCTTATCTTTTTATATAAGTGAGGTCATGCAATAGTTGCCCTTTTATGATTGACTTATTTCACTCAGCATAATGTCTTCAAGCTCCATCCATATTGTAGCATGTATCAAGACTTCATTTCTCCTGCTTGCTGGGTAGTATTCCATTATATGTATGTACCACATTTTGTTTATCCATTTATCTCTTGATGAACATTTAGGTTGTTCCCACCTTTTGGATACTGTAAATAGTGCTGCAGTGAACACTGGGTGTACAAGTCGCTGGTTGAGTCTCTGCTTTCAAGTCTTTTGGGTGTATACACAAGAGTAGAATTGCTAGGTCATATGGTAGTTCTATTCTTAGTTTTTTGAGGAACTGCCACACTTTTCCACGATGGTTGTACCATTTTGCATTCTCAACAGCAATGGCTAAGGGTTCCAATTGAGGTGATTTTTTTTTTTTTTAAGTGATACCACGGACAAATGTTTTTAGTCTGTATTCATTTTAATATACCTTATGAAAAAATATATAGCTAGCAGTCATAGCTATGATTTTACTGGTACTTACGTTGAGGCTAAATTTCAGTAAGTACATGCATTGGTTTTTTTCTTTTTAAGAAAATGATTAAGTAATAGTGCAGGTGATGTGTGGCTTTTAGCAAAAATTGTGAAGGTGGCACCAGACGGCTAAGGTTTGAGAAATACTGGTAAAAACGAGGATTTGGTCATTTTTCTTAAATGGAACTTTCCTTTTTCCAAGCTTATTATATTCCTTTGATGTTTGATTTAAAATCACATATTTAAATTGTTTTCTACCAGACCACTGAAATAGGCTTGTGTTTATTCTTTATAGTTAAAACTAGTTTTATTTCTAAAGATGGTGGTTTAAAATGCACTATGAATAGAGTGAGGGGAGCAAGTTAGTCTCCACACTTGGGACTTTTGAGGGAAATGCTTTTCCTGCCTGGACACTCTGACTTAGGTGATGGGTACAGCCTCTGGGGTTGTTGTGGAGCATTCCTTTCCATCTTTCTCAAAAAGTAGCCACCACTCAATGGGCTGGGATGACAAGGTGAGCTTCCTGTTAACATTGTTAGCCCATCTTTTGGCTGCAGCACCCATCTGTAAGAGGGGTAGGAGAGCCCAGGGTGCCCGAGGCTACTGGAAAGCAGTACAGAGCTGGTCAGTTTTTGGCTCGTTATTTTTTTTTCTTCCATAGGCTTGTCTAGACAGAATGGTGAGTAACGTTTTTATCCAGTTGTGGGCCAGGGGACCAAAGGCATCTGGAAAGCCTCTGACAACAAGAAAGAAGGTTGGAAATGAGAAAATCAACTCTGTATCCAATTATGAGAAAAATAATCTTCTGTTTTATAGATGTTCACATTTAAGAAATGTTTATGTTTTGTCGAGTAATGAGATTTAACATGTTTTTCCTTCCTCTTTGTAGGTACTGGTTTTGGATTAGGAATAGTTTTCTCGCTTACCTTCTTTAAAAGTAAGTGTTACTCTTACTGCTTTTCCAACATACTGTCATAGTGTAGTCATATATATAGCAGAGACCCATCAGGAAGGCATATCTATAAGGCTGCCAACCCATCCTCTTTGGGGTTAGGTAGGCTAATGTAAAATGAGCTAGACAAAGAATGTGGACTCAGAAAAGGTCCAGATGGGTTGGGCATCTCCAGAATTTCCCCTGGGCATTGAGTCAGGGTGAAATCTTAAATATGATATCATTGTAAAAGTCTGTACTTTATGCCAGTGAGTCATTTGACCAAATCTACGCCCTCAAATATTTCTAATTAATTGCAAGTTTTTCTAAAGGAACTTGAAAATGAGAGTCTTGCAAGCAATAAAAAACAAGTGGACCAGAAACAGACATGCTTCTTGGCCAAAAATTCTCCTAAGCAGAGGGCAGGCAGTGTCGCTTTTCATTCTGTGGAAGAACTTTTGAAGTTTGGATATTGAATAGAAGCCACTTTCCATGAAGAACTGGCTGGGAATGCATAACTGAAACCAAAAACCAAACCCACTGCCATCAAGTCGATTCCGACTCACAGCGACCCTATAGGACAGAGTAGAACTGCCCCATAAGGTTTCCAAGGCTGTAAATCTTTACAGGACCAGACTGCCACATCTTTCTCCCGCAGCTGGTGGGTTCGAACTACCAACCTTTTGGTTAGCAGCCAAGCACTTACCCACTGCACCACCAGGGCTCCTATAAGACGTAACTAGAGAATCATAAGTAACACGTCGTGCTGATATGAAATAATCATTTACAGTTTTGGCTTCAGTAAACTTCATGACTTCCTATAAGAAAAGTGTATGAATACTTGTAAAATTCTTACATATTTTTAAAATTCAGGCATTTTACTGAAAGATATGACTTTCTGATAAGGTTAAGAAATTAGTTAAAATAAGCAAATGATTAGAGCTGACATAGAAAAGGTAAAAGGTTCAGCTGTGCCTACTATTGTCATATTGTACCACTTGTTTACCTTGAACCTAGCAACATAGGCACTTAATAAATTTTACTAAATTAAAAAATTTACTAACAGACCTCTATTTTTGCCATTAATTAAACACCAACAGAAGTGTATATTATAGTCATCAGTATGATGTATGTTGAATATTTACTGAATCCTAAGCAAATGTAATTAAGTGGGAAAAAGCTTTATCATCTCCTAATAGTTCCCTATTGGAATTTTCCCTTTTCTATTCACTAGGAAGAATGTGGCCGTTAGCCTTTGGTTCTGGCATGGGATTAGGAATGGCCTATTCCAACTGTCAGCATGATTTCCAGGCTCCATATCTTCTTCATGGAAAATATGTCAGAGTATGTACAGAATTTATATTTCACTGTCTTTCACAAGAAAAAGAGATGGTTTCTCCTGAGCCCCTGAAGAATTCTTTAGAGGACATATAATCAATAAATTGTGTGTATCATTGGGGCATCACTGAGATCATAACTGCTCTTTGGCCTTTAGTGATGCTAACACTGCTTTAGTACCACATCTCTCCTCTATACCTTCTGATGCATATATGCATTCAGGGGTATGCTCATATGTTAGCTGATTGGAATTGTTAAAACTGTGGAGGAGTTTCTAAATGGTAAAGTAGATTTGTATTATATATCTGTAAGTAGCACTTTTTGTTCAAGATCTTAGAGCAATCTGTAAACATCCTACTCATATTCAAGCTAAATCTAAAGACTGCTGGGATTCAGCCATTATTCTGCTTTTTATTGAAGGGAGCAGGTTCTTGACTGTAAGTCCCACGTGATTCTGCAAAAGTCCTTGTCTTCAGATGGATTTTTATTCGTTCAAAAAAGCTGGAAGATTATTACACATCATAAGAAGGAAGAAGATAGCATGCTTCTTTAAGTTTTTGTGTGTAGCAGCCTATTCCTTTACCCTTATTTTAGGTGATTGTTTACTGTGGGGTTTAAGTAAAAGGATGGTAGAAGACTGGGTGCTCCTCAAGAACAGAGGTGGTATTTAATTTTTGTATCTCCAGGGCCTGGGTCATAGTTGGCACTCAAATAAATGTACAGTGAATGAATGGAGTATAAAATGTGTGTCATATTGGATATAAGTGTTAATGGTCACAGGTTTACTAAGAAAAAACCTTTGTAGCAACACAGCCTTCAGTGAAGAACTTATTCCCTGGATGCATAGAATTATCTGCTTTATAGGTTACCCTTAAGCTAGACTCGGTATGATTTGGGCAGCAGTAGGGGCTAATGCAAAGATCAGTGAGGCCAGGAGACCTGGGTGTGAGTCCTGGCCCATCACTTGCTACCTATGTGATCTTGAGTCATTTCATTTCTGAATTTTCGTTTCCTGTCCATACAATGAGGGTAATAATTTCTGTCTCACAGGGTTGTTGTGAGGATTAAGTGAGATCATGAACAATTTGTGAAAATGTTCTTAAGCTGTGAGGTGCCATATAAGTAGAAACTTTGGTTATTATAGCTGAAGCCTCGCAAGAAAGGGCGATTGACTTGTCCATTGTTCTCCTATAGTAACAAATAGAGCAGAAAATGCGGTACAAATAAGTGTCCTAATTCTGGTCAAGAGCTGTAGCCACAAGGGCCACAGAATCTCAAATAACAAGGTCCCACCCCAGCTTAGCCTCCATTTGAGAACCTAGTCAGATCCTGTGAGGTGCCTCCAGACCAGTTGGTGCATGCTGGAGGAGAACTGGGAGCAGGGAGGTTGGCCGGCTAGGAAGCCTGGCAGGCCTTTCCCTGCCCTCCATGTTAATGAACCATCTCTGCCTCGAGGCCAGGGTGAGGTAATCCGAGGGACGGTGCAAGTAGAGGCACAGCTGTGTGGCACCAAAGCCGACGACAGGCGGTTTCCACCGCTCCCTGACTTCACTTTCTTGGCACCAGAGAGCTGAACACTGGGGAGGACAGATAGGGACTGGGAAAGGAGCTCCAGGATTTTTAATTGTTTAAAAGGTTTGCATTGTTCCAAACTGAGTTGTCATTGGGTGATGGCTTAGGGGTGATGATATGCATATTACATATTTAATGTCTGGGAGTTGTGGAAAATATTGTTACATTTTTTACAGCGTTGTGTGTACTGTTCCAAAATGGCCTTGTAATTTTATCTGAACTTGGGTCTGTGCCTCGATGTTGTCATGCTCTACTCTCTGAGAAGAGGCGCAAAATCCCAACTTGGGGCTATGCAGTCACGTTATGGTAACTGCTTGTTGAGTGCCTGATACACCCTGAGGACCGTCCTAGGTACTTTCTCTTCTCTCTCTCTAGACCTCCCAATAGATTTGTGAGAGAGATATTATTCTCATTCAGCAGTGAGAAAACAGTCTTACTGAGCTTAAGATACTTGCCAAGGATCACATAATTAGTAGGCCTTTTGATTCCACAGTCATGCTCTTTTCACTCACCTATGCTCCTTTTGATGGGTTTTAGGAATACAGTTATGAAGGTACTGATTGTTTAGCCCTGTTCCGCTTTCCCATTCTTCTCCTTCAGGACTGGGGAGCCAGTCTTTTAGGAACCTGGGTGGATGTATGCAGTTCTCTCGTTAGATGGTTTTAAAGCAGACAGTGTGGTACAGTTTGAGCCCCATTGGTCCCTTGGGTCTGCCCGGAAGCAGCGAGTTAGAGAGGGTTGTCAGCGTACTGTCCACACAGCTCTAACCTGAGTGTCCTTGCTTTACAGGAGCAGTGACTTAGGCCTGAGAACATCCCAGTGGGAGGAAAAGAGAAATCATGTTTATTCCTCAGGAATATTGAAGTGCCCTGGAGTAAGCTGACATTCTTCTGGAACAATGTTATCAGTAATGCTTTATACTCCAGCACACTGTTTATGTATTTGAAACCAAGTCTGTTTCTTGTTTTGTATTTTCTCTCTGGAAATTGCAAGGAGGTGGTCTTAAAGGAAATAAATTAAACAAAAATAGGAAGCCCAGCGCATTGCCTGCGTTTTTTGCCTTTGGTCTCTGAGCATGAGGAGAACTATGTTTGAGTTGCCAGCAGCTGTAACCGCATTGTCACACCTCTCTGAGAGCCCTCCTGAAACCACAGCCATTGTTCATTCCTCCCTGCTCACCTCTAATCTAATGTGTAGCTTTCGGAGCTGCTTCCACCCCATAAATCGGAGGTTGGAGAGTGCCGCTGCATGGTCTGAGGGAGATAATGAATGTCTTGAGGAGCCTCTCCTTGCTGCAGCAGCTCTTTAAGATCTGTGTGCTGTTGTCACCAAGGAACCTGGTAGGATGTCTCAGCTATGCCTCCTGCACTGATGTTAGATCACTGGCTGGCTTAAAGAGTGTGAAGGCTGACTGGGTGGATGGGCCACCACATTGATCTCATGTCCTGCAGCTTTCATGGAGCTTGCTGTAAGCTTCATCCCTGGGGGCTTTCTCCTGGAGGTGGGGGAAGCTTGTGGCATACCCACCTGGCTGGAAGGCCATGATGGGGTGCATTTTATCTTCACCCAGCAGCTGAGGTTGCAGGAGAGAAGGGCCATTCTGATACCCAGCTATGAGTTTGGTCCTGTGGTTTCACTTGAACCAGGGAGGCCGGACACAAAAGTAGTTGATAATTCTTAGTATTTTCAACTTATTCTGAAAATGTGCAGGCTTCCAGAACTCAGTCTGTCATATCTTATTCTCTCTCTTTAAAATAAAATAAAGATGAACAGAGCTTGATTCCATTTGCCCCTTCATTCTGTAAATATTTACTGAGCATCTTCCATGAGCTGGGCACTGGTCTAGGCAGCAGATAAATGAATGAAAAGACACAGCCCCTGGTCCCGGATAGAATGGGAGAAAAACATGGAGAACTCAGATTCTTATTTAAAAAAAAAAAAAATCCAGACAAACCAGAACAGTAGAGAACAGGACTCCTGAGGCTATGCCATCACCTTTTAGCAGAATAGCAGAGTGGCACACAATAAAGGCTATTGCCCATAAGATTGGTGCCCTACTTAAAAACCATCAGTATGAGGCCAAAAGGTCAACAATTACTCAAAAGCAAAATGAGAAGATAAGGGAGCAGGGAAACTAGAGTACTGGAAAGGGAACAAACAGAACACAAAGAGAATGTTGACACATTGTGATAAATGTATCTAATGTCAGTGAACAATTTGTGTGGAAGTTGTCATACGGGAACCTAACTTGCTGTATAAACTTTCACCAAAAACTTAGTAAAATATTAAAAAGAAAAGACACAGCTCTGCCTTCAAACAACTTAGAGTCTGATAGAAAGACAGGCATGCACACTCTTATGACCCTGGAAGAGAATTGTTTTAATGGGGACGAAGAGTGAAGACAAAGTGCTGTGAGAACAAAGGAGAAAGAGCAACTAAATCTTCCTTAGGAGTGAGGGAATGAGGAGGGAGTACAGGAACTGAGACTTGCAGGCACTCCAGGCAGACAAGGAAGAGAAGGAAGGTAGCTTATGCAAAGGCTCATAATCATGAAAGTGCGTAGTATAGCTGGAGAACTACAAATGGTCTAGTAGAGCCAGAATGGGAGAGCGGTGGAGAGACAAGGCTGGGCACCAGGGTAGAACTAGTGTCTGACCCCAATTCTGGAACAGTGATTAGACCTTAGTTTTTGTAAATGTTGTATGAAAGAGTGCGTTCAGGGTAACAAATTCCTCCCCATCTTCGACTCCCTCGTCTTTCACCCCACTCGCCTCTTCAGAAAGGCATGCTAAGCTCTGGCCTGGAACTGGCAGCAGTGGCTCTCTGCTTTCTGGGCTTTTTTGCATCTTTGGATCAGGCAAGGCTCAAAGATGGGCCTGAGCCCTGAACTGTAAGACATGGCCATGGCTTGCTGCAGCCAGTCTGCTATTTTTCACATTGTCCCCTTCATTCCATGACTGAGGCGTCCCATGTAATTAAAAAAAAAATAACCTGGTGACCTATTTCAACCCTTACACTTGTCTTCTCCATATTTGTTTTAAAAGTTAATATTTCCTCCCAATTTTTCCACCATTTTTCCATCTTTATTCAGGTAGAGAGAAGAATAACAGGTTCCCTTCCAAAAAAGATAAAAACAAAACAACATGCTCACTAATTCTCTAGATATGTCATAAAAATATGGAGTGGAGAGGGACATTGGAATCAGACTTCTCTATTTCATTAGTCATTAGGTTTTAAGCAAGTATTTGGATGGATCCCTTTGCCCAGGGACCTTTGAAGCACCACTTAATGTGTTTTGAGAAACTGGTCAGCTCTTTGAGAGAATTGTTCTGGGCAAAGGCCAGCCAAAGGAAGCATTAAGCTGTTTGCTTTAATTTCAGAGTACTTTGTATTCCCGCCTTGTAACTCAGCAGAGACTGACCCAGAGCACAATGCTTGATCTTGTCCCCACTCCCTGCCCCCATCTCAAATCAACTTTTAGAAGGTTCCAGGTTGCTGGCAAAGGCACACATTCTGTTCTACTTTAAATTTCATTAGAAATTGAAGTCTTCCAGGGCCACGTTCTGTTGTGGGGTTGTGAAACTTTGCTTCTTGTCTGCCCTTCTGGAACCAAATGCAAGGAAATTCATGGGTTTGGGGAGAGAGAGTGATGGGAGCCCAGCTGGGCACAGGATACTGGGATAAAGCTGTGGCGCCCCAAAAGTGGCCTGCTCTGCCAACATATATAAATGCATACAGTCTGAGCTTGACACTGTATAATTTGGCCCAGAACAATATGTATTTTGAACTCATTTAGGTGAATGACTTTGGCATTCCAAGTACCCACTGGGGAGCCTTTATCAGGCTGCATTTGCCTTATGCAGAAGTATGCCTTTGTTCTGAGAAAGGGCCTCCGAACACACTCTGTTGTGCTGTCTCCTTTACTGAGTGTCATCCTCTCTCATCCAGTTCAGAAGCTCCCAGGATGCAGTCTTGAAATCTCGCTTATAGGAAACGCAGAGATTGGGAATGAAGGAGATAACTATGTAGTTTTGCTTTTAGTTTCCCCAAACCTCATTGTTTACTTTTTTTTTAATTTTTTTTATGTAACCAAGCCATAATTGTATTTTACTCGTCATGGTTCAGTCTGACTGTATTGTTGAAGGACTATTTTTGAACCTGTCCAAATAAACTCCGCAAAGTATTTCCACAAGGATGTACTCCATGGTGCTAGAACAGCCTTCATCCTAAATGGTATTGAGACACAAACAGTTTCCTGTTGCATGCTTTCTAATTACATAAATGCAAAGGGGGTGGAAGGGGGAAAGTGAAAATTCTAAATACCAAAAGGAATGTTAAATTCAGAATAATAAGCTCATCTGGGAACTATTGCCACTTTTTTCTTTAAGTGTGCTGCAATCATCACTTCCCCTCGAACACCAGAGGGTGATGTCTGAATATACAGACCTGGGCAGGAACAGGGCAGAAGTTCCCATGTTCACTGAGTGACCTCGGCCCTGGAACAAGTGTGAGAACCCAGTGATAACTGTTAGAGAGGTGAAGTGCCTTGAAGGTAGAGGACAGAGGGGAACAAGGAGAGGCAGGACTGTAAAGTAGGAAGAGTGTAGGATTTGGAGTCAGTTCAAGTTCCTACTCCAGCACATATCTGTTCAGTTTCCTCATCTGTAAAGGGGAAAAAATAATTCCTACTTTACAGACTTCTAGGGTCAATTATATGTGCTAGCACTTGTGTTTAACAAGAGGTTGTTGCTCTTTGAATCAAAATAAAGTGCATGATATTAATGATAGGTAGTCAGGGGACTGTTCCAGAACAGAAAGAGGGCATAGCTTAGGCTCCAGGAGTTGGCTGTTAGGGTCAAAATCAGCAAGATCTGAGGGAGATAATGAGTGTCTCAAATGAGTTCCTGGTAATAACAAAAAAAAATAAAAAATAAAAAAACCACAAAATTATTGGAAAACACTGTACGTCATCATAAATATGCATTAATGTCACACATTTTCACCGTGTTCAAACACATGAGTAAAGTCACTGTGGCTTCTCTCCTGAAACTCCACCCTAGCTTTTTAAAACATCGGTTATTTACTGAGTACCCGGTTTCAGTGCTAGGCTTAGGAGGGCATGGGGAAAGAGGACACTGAAATAGAATGGGAATCTGAGAAATCCTCAAGAAGCTTCCAGCCCTATTGGAAGCATGACTGTTACTGAGCATTTGCATTCGGTATGATTGACTTCAACTGGGTGATCCTCAGAGCAGGAAGATGTAGGTGGGGGGAAGGGGATGTCAAGAATTCTTGGAGGAGGTGTGGACAGAGGATGGGTCTTTAATAGGGAAGAAACTGGGGCTAGAAGAAAGAGCTTATCAACTGTTAATCCATATTTCTCTGTGCCTGGTCTAGCTAGTTTGAGCCAGGCAGAACTTTTTTTGATTACTTCAAATGAGTATATAATAATATTAACACTTATTGGGCACATACTATATGCCAGTTACTGTTTTAAGGCTTTACATACATCGTGATGCTAAATTTTCACAACAATCCTGTGAGAGCAGTACTATTATCCTCATTTTATAGATGAAGAAACAGATTTTGGAAGGATAAATCAACTTGCAAAGTAACAAACTGCTAAGAGGTGATAGAGATGGGATTTGAATCTAATTCCCAAGCCCAGGCTTAACTACTCTGCTACACTGGTCAGAGGCTATTTGAACTGGGAAGGTCATTTCAAAGTGGCTTGATTCAGTTTAAAGCATATCTGAAACAGGAACTACTTGAAACTAATCAGAGCCCGTTTCTTTGAGTTAAAATTGATAAGAACAAGTTGATACA